TCCCCACCCCTGCCCACACATCCATGGGGGTCAAGGTTTGGACTCTGTCTGGGCTCCTCTTGCTCTGGCCGTCATTTGCCCCAGTAGCATTGGCGTTTCCAGAGCAGCTGGGGAGCCAATCCCCTTGACCAGCCAGGGAAACTGAGGCAGAGAGCCCCTATGACCAGGATGGACAGGTACACAGCTGTTGTACTCTGATTGACCGTGCCCTGCAGCCCCTGCTGAATGCCCTTGGCAGTGCCTGGACCTGCCTTACCCAGCCACGGGCGCCCAGGACGGTGTTTGCTGGCAAGTTGCGCTGCTGCTGTGGGATTGTTCAGCTCCGTTGCTCGCTGAGGGGATGTCAGACCAGGCGGATGGGCAAACACTCTGAACGGACGGGACCCGTTCCTGGGCCCTCAACTGGCAGGTGTTTGGATTCCTGTAGGGCTGCCTGGTATCTGTACATACAAGCCCTAGGTTTCCCGTGGGGTGACTCTCCACAGCCCATCACCTTAATTACCCACAAGGGAGTAACCGTAACTCACTGCTCAATGGTGAAGATGCTTTGTCCAGCCAGGAACGTTCTTCAAAGCCTTCCTGGGCTAATGCTAATGCTATAATAATAAACCGAACCCTTGCCTGGGGCCCTTTCACAGCCGCACCTTAGAAAGGCGGGTTAGCATTTGTATTCCTGCTTTGTAACACCTGGGGAAACTGAGGCACGGCAGGGTGACGGGACGTGCCCAAGGTCACTCACCGAGTCCCCGGCAGAGGCAGGAGCAGAACGCTGGGCTCCTGCCGCTGCTGCGGGATGTTAATTGCGCCACACGAGGAAAAAAAGCCAATTGTGTTTTTTTTAAAACAGGTTTAATTTCAAAATATTATAAACCAGAGGCAGACGCTGCGTTTTACACACACCAGAGACGTGGGCCTGCTGAGGCTAGGGGAGGGGGGGCTCCGAGTGGGGCTGGGGCACCACTGCCCGCCAGTGGGGTAGCTTAGATCTGAAATCGTTAGGGGCTGGGACAGCGTCTTTAAACACCCCCAACCCGGCTCCCCCTCACCATCCACCGATCTGCTTCCGAGCCACCATTCTGGGTTTGGTTCGGTTCCTGCCCTCCCCCCCGTGTTACCCGGGCCCCTTTGAGCCTTGGGAGGGCAGGGGAAAGCCAGACCTTTGTAGCCAGTCTAAACCAACCGGTGCCACTCTAAGAGGAGATGTGACTGTAGCCAGGGCCGGCTCCAGGGTTTTGGCCGCCCCAAGCAGCCAAAAAAAAAAAAAAAAGCCGCGATCGCGATCTGCGGTGGCAATTTAGCGGGAGGTCCTTTGCTCCAAGTGGGAGTGAGGGACTGTCCGCTGAATTGCCGCCAAATAGCTGGACCTGCCCCCCTCTCCGAAGGGGCCGCCCCAAGCACCTGCTTGCCAAGCTGGTACCTGGAGCC